CTACAATCAGGCACATGATGGCGCTTCGCATCAGACTGGTGTTCTACTTCCTCCTGCAGAAGGCCTTGCTGGTACCTCGGCTGCGGGCGATGGCGCGTTCCCAGACCGCACGCCCTTCGACCCCGTGGCGCTGGTGGCAGCTGGCGCGGTCGACGACGAGTTTCTGCCTGCGGCCTTCCCCGACTTCGACCCTGATGACAACGTCGTCGGCGAAGGAGATGGGTGCTTGATGTGCTGCGACGACGTCGCCACCTCGGACCACGCGTCCGTCGGCGACGCCCTTCCCGAACTCCTCCCGAGCTGCCCCGACCTGCTCGACAACGATGCCGACATCCTGGTCGACCTCACCGCCGTCGCCAGCGGCTCCTCCACAATTCTTCAATATGAATACTAATCTCCCTCTTCCCCTGATGGCGTGCTGGGAGTAGCCGACCCCCCCCCCCCCGCGTACTGTTTTTTTACACACAGGATTCCCGGGAATTGGGTTTTCGCTTGCGTTTTTTTTCCCCCCCCCAAAATGCTGCTCTCGCTGAGGCGCCGGCCTCATTTCTGCTCCCGAATCGTTCCGAATCGTGCTCCCGCTGCAGCGTGGGCCTCATTTTCGGATCGGTGTTATGCCTCCGTCGTTCGGGATGGCGTTCTCGACCCAGCGCAGGCCTTTCTCTCGCGCGCCCATCCGCCCGCCACCACCGCGCCGCACCGCGCCCCGCCCCGCCGCACGCACACCCACCGCCACTTCCACCCACCAACGCACGCACGCACGCACGCGCACCACCACCGCGCACCGCCACCACCACCGCACTACCCCACCCACCACCACCACGCTACACCGCGTCACACCACATCACACGCGCGCACACACAGACACACACGCACGCACGCACACACACACACATACACACGCACACACACACACACACGCACACATACAGACACACACACACACGACCACCACCACCGCCACCACCACCACCACCGCCATCACGCACGTACGCACCTGGCCCACCACCAAACCACCAAGACGCCACAGCACGTTACACACCACTACGCATCCGGTCCTCCGCGCAGCGCCATCAGCGCTAACCTCCTTCCTCCTCCTCCTCCTCCCCCTCCTCCTTCTCCTCCTCCGTTTCCTCCTCCACCCCCCCCTCCTCCTCCTCCTTCTCCTTCTCCTTCTCCGCCTCCTCCTCCTCCTCCTCCTCCTCCTCGTCCTCCTCCTTTGGGGAGCTAAGAGTTTCCGGAACCCGCCTCGTGTCCACGCCGTTTGCTTCATCGAGGCCGTCGTCGGATGCGGCGCCTCGAGCAAAGGTGAGCCCAGACAAGCCAGCGTATGGAGACATCAGGGCTGCGCTGTTCTCCATGTTCGGCCTCCGAGGGCCCCCGCCGCGCCCAGGGACCGTCCAGAGACGACACAGGACGAGAAGCTGGTCCTTGGGAGTGGGTCGAGACTACACGGGACCCCGTGTCGAAGCATCAAGACATCGGATCTTGGGGCTGGGGCTAGTTTGTCACCGCTCTTTTTGCGGCTGGCGTCGGTGCTTCGCGGGCCGTCGACGGAACGACTCGGGTGGAGCGCTGGCCCCCTGGGGGATCTGGAGAGCCAGGCCGATGAGGCATGAAACCTGTCAGTGAAAGGCGCCCCGCAACTGGCAGAAGAGCAGCGTGCAACACAAAGTCTGCACGGGCGCCAAGGCAGGGGTTCCGAGGATAGCAGCGGAAGAGCAGTTTTTTGCGACACGACACGAGGACGACGCGATACGAAAGCACGACACGGAGGCGGCTGGTGGCAACGGGGGGTGGCCTCCATTGGGGGTGAAGAAGAGGGCCCCTTTAGGGCCCTTTCTCTTCACCCCCCATGTGGGTCACCCCCCTTAACACCCGCCTGAGAATCGGCGGCAGCAGGCAACCGACGTCCTGCGGCGGGGCCCCAGCTCGCAGCCCTGCCGCCCACCGCATTTGGCGCAGCAAGGAGAGCAGATGTCCAGTCATACTGTCGACGCAATGGCATCGCTCGGACATGTGTGTGTTTTCCCCGGCGAGGGCCACCCGGGAGCATCCTGGATCATCTTGTAAAATAGAGGCACGAAACCGAAACATGCACGGGAAATGTTCGCTCGAGCGGTGGCAGGATGCGGAGGGGGGAAGGAGACGGAGGGCCGGCCGTCTCAAGCCACGGCGGGAATGCGTCGGGCGCGGTGGAGATAATTTCGCCCGGGACGGGGGTGAGAGTTCCAGGGGCCCGTGCATCGAACCAAGTCGGAGCGCGTGACGTGTGAGCAACCATGGGAACGACAGGGCCGTTTTGGTTGCAGTGTTCGTGTTTCAGTTGTTCTTCGGTTTCCGACGCAGTTCTTAATGACGTTTCTTGCACTGTTGTTTGACCGTCTTCGTTTTCCATGCTGGGGGCCTGGTCCAGATCACCGTTTTTCTACCCGATCCCAGCCGTTTTCGAACCCGTTTCGAACGTCCTTCGGATCCTTGGATTGCCTTGGCCGTTTCGGCGAACCATTTGCAACCGTTTTGGTGAACAGTATTTTTGTGAGGTGCTTCTGCACGATCAAGAGGCAGGTGTTGTCGACAAGCAACAAGCAACAAACTGGGAACCCCTGGCGCGCTCAGGGAGGAGGGTCCAGCGCAATTCCAAGGAAGCCGCGCGGATCTGCAATATTTTATGTGTATGAAGTGGTCTTCCATTCGATGCTTGCAAACTGTTGAAAGAAAAGCAGCCCTGCCGCTTCCGTGGCGAGAGATGAATGTCGGGCATGCGCAGAGAGGGGGTGTGGAGGCAAGGCTTCTTCGAAGCACCACTGCTTCTACTTACACAGGCCGAAAGAGTTTCCTCTTGAGCCCCCACATGTAGCGTTCTCTTCGGCTTCGTGCCTCCTCCCTCCTCCTTCCCACCTTCGTCCTAGGAAGATCCCCCCTTTTCTCCCGTAGAATCATAGCTTTGGTCAGCATATCCACAGTTTCGTGGATCACATGATGCTTCACGTGCGATGTCCCGCGGATCCCATTTTACCCGGGTCCGGGATGTTTATTATTAGTATTATTTTTACTACTACTACTACTACTACTACTACTACTACTACTACTACTACTACTACTACTACTACTACTACTACTACTACTACTACTACTATTGTTGTATATTCACTCCCATAGTATAGATTGACCCATTGTTTTTTCACACACGGGAAATTGGATCCGCGCAAGGCAGAAGTGGGATCCACGACACAGTCGCACACCCGACAAGGGATACAATTGGATCCATCGGTGTTCTCATATTCCAGTCCACAAGGAAAAATCCTTCGCCGTGGGGATGAAGGGTTCGGACCCCCCCACCAGACATGTTCGAAAGAGTGCATGGCTACATGGTGTTAGTGGGAGAGATGCAGTTCGAAATCCCGCTGAAGGATTCGGAACCCCGCACCAGACATTTGCGAAAGAGTGCATTGTGTCAGTGGGATAGACGACATTCGAAATCCCGTTCTAAGAAGCCTCCCCCGCTCCCTCGACCCCCCTGTGCGCGCCGCCAGGGATGCACACTGGCCGCGTGTTTTGTTCAGCGCTCGGCCGTCCTGCGGCCAGGTGCACCGGCCTTCCGCGTGCGTCGGCTACACAGAAGTGTGGCACTTCGCCGGAGCGACTTTTGGTGCGAGGCTTTCGTGGGTGCGGGGCGGGCCCGACCAACACACGTGGGCCGCTTCTGTGGCATCGCATGCACTGGTTGGCAAGCCGCGCAACACAGATCACCCTCGCCTAGGGTCACTGTGGCCTTTGCATGGCCGCGTGTGCATTCCCAGACATCCTACGCCGTTGAATTCACAACGTGGGCCCCCCCGAAGTTCGGGTTCCCCTCCCAGGGGCCGGTTTCCCATCCTGAGTAGCATTCGGGCGGTCGTGGGGCCCGATCAGGGATCTGCCAACACTGGCCGGTCGTGTTTTGTTTCGCTGGGCGAGGAGGTCCAGACTTCCTAGCTTCGAGCCTCGTGGTCGGGGTTTCTTCTGCTTGTTGGGGTGGCGCAGGCAGGCCAGGGCAAGAGGCAGGGCGGGCCTGGCGAAGAGGGGATGAAGATGACATCATCGTCATCTTCACCCTCATCGGCACTCCCTGAGATCCCAGCGTTGCTATTTTTTCACAACGCGCGTTTTCGACCCGTTCTGGGCCCCAGGACCCTCCCAGATCCATGCGGCTCGAAAAAGGACGCAGAGAGATGGGATCCGGGGCTCTGGTGGTGATTTTTTGTCATGGTGCAAGTGTTTTGCAACGCTGGGCTTGCCAGCTCCTCCGTTCCTCCTCTTCTCCATTCGTCCTCAACAGCCCCGCCAAATCCTGACCAGGGGACCAATATGGACCGCACTGTTTTTTCCTCCGTCCTTGTCCCTGCCACGCTGACACGCCATCCTTACCTGCATTTCAATGTCGGCTTTGTTGCATGGCTATATTAGGTTTGCAGCGTCGGATGTCAGGGTCGTCCTCATCGTCGTCGAAAGGGGAGGGACGCTGGGTCCAGCAGGCGCGGGGCGGCGGCGGTGGCGGGCTGGCAGGGGGCGCCTGGCGGTGCGGGCAGGTTTGCCATCCGCCTTGCCTTCGGAGCGCTCGCTGCCGCCAATGGAAGCAAACACCTGCCGCTCTCGGTCAAGGGAGGAAAAACCACCCGGACCCGACAACTGGCGTTTCCTAAGCGGCCTTGGGCGTTTACTCAACAGCCCTGCCCTTTTCGATTCCTTCCCAGGGCGCGTTTACTAAACGGCTTCGCTTGTCGGGGTGCTTATCATGGGGGTGGACTTCCTGCCCTGTACTCGGCGAGCTCTTCGCCGCCCTCCCCACGGCACAAACGCCACCGCACCATGGGCACCTCTCCGAGGAGCGCTCCGACAGGGGCGCGCAGGGCCTCCCTGGCGCCAAAAGCCCTGGCGCATCTCTCCCGCCGCACCTCCGTGGACGCCGCCGCCGCCGCCGCAGTCGCCGCCGCCGCCGCCGCCGCGGGCGGTGGGAGGCTCGCAGCACACCGACTGCGTGGTCACGGAGGACGCGGGCGTGGCCGAGGCCTTCATGCGGCGGGTGGACTCCGCGGGCGTCTACCACAACGCCTCCACGCGCTTCGCGGAGCGGCCCCGGCCTTTTCAGAGAGCCGCCGCTCCGAGAAAGCTGGAGCGGGCGGTGTTTGGCCGCTTTCGGCCTGCGGGGGCCCTCGTCGGGCCTCGGGAGCGTCAAGAAACGGCTCAGGAAGAAAAACTGGCCCCAGGGAAGTGGTCCGGACATTCTCGGGGCCCACGCATCGAAAAATTGGAGCAGCCGGATGTCTGGTTTCTCTGGGCTCTGGGCAGGGGCCAGCGCAGAGGGGGCCAAGGGCGGGAGGAGGAGGAGGAGGAGGAGGAGGAAAACGAGGAGGAGGAGGCGGATGATGAGGAGGAGGAGGACGAGGACGAGGAGGAGGAGGAGGAGGACGAGGAGGAGGACGAGGAGAAAGAGGAGAGGGGGACGTTGCGCGCAGACAGCCCCTCCCCCACCTCGAGCGGCGGAGGGTCGTCCCGGCCGGCCTCCAGAGGCCCACCCCCGAGCAGCACCCCGCATGGGGGTGCGCAGAGCCCCAGAGCTGGGGAGTGTTCAGACCCCGCCCCGCCTCCCCCACAAGAAGAGCGAGGAGGAGGAGGAGGAGGAGGAGGAGGAGAAGGAGGAGGAGGAGGAGGAGGAGGAGGTGGAGGAGGAGTCTCTGGAGTCTTTGCCTGATCGCGTAGCGATATACTCTGCTCGGGACCGCACGGCGCGGTGCCACCTTCCACTCAGAAGGCCTTCGACAGCAGGGAGTGGTTCAACGCGTCGACGCTGAGGAAATGGCTGCACCGAGAGCTGAGAGAAGGTCTCCAACCTCACTGCCGCCGTCCTGCTTCGTCGGTGTGTTGCCCTTTGTAGACTCCCATTTCCATTCGTAACGTTGAGTACGACCGACTCCAATCTGTGTGTGAATCCATCTCCCATTACTGCCTTGTGATGCGGCCGCAAGGTGTGCAACACGTCGCACGAAAGGCTGGGATTTCCATCTTATGGCTCGTGTGATGCATTTGTCTTCAAACTCCTTCTGTTCAGCAGCTCGCTCGCGGAGAAACGCTTCCACGTCTGAATCGGTCATTTTTCCACTTCTGTAGCTGACGACGTCGGGCTCGACCTTCGCACCGCGCGTCCGATCCTCGTCGTTGTAGCTGATGGCATTGGGCTCGTGCTTCGTCTCCGCCACTGCCGCCGTCCAAGACTTCTCGCATGCACCATACTCGGGTCTGTAGCTGATGACGTCGGGCTTGACCTTCCCGTCATGCGACACAGCCTTGTCGTTGTAGCTGCTGGCATTGGGCTCGTACTTCGGCTCCGCCACTGCCCCCGTCCAAGTCTTCTCGCATGCACCGTCGTTGTAGCTGATGGCATTGGTCTCGTGCTTCGTCTCCGCCACTGCCGCCGTCCCAGACTTCACGCATGTGTCGTCCGCGGGTCTGTAGCTGATGACGTCGGAGTCGACCTTCGCGTCAGCTAACACAGCCTCGTCGTTGTAGCTGATGGCATCGGGCTCGTCCTTCGTCACTGCCGCTGCCGCCATTCCAGACTTTCTCATGTGTCGTCCACGGTTCTGTGGCTGTGGACGTCGGGATCGACCTTCGCGTCGTGCGACACAGTCCCGTCGTTGTAGCTGATGGCATTGGCCTCGTGCTTCGCCTCCGGCTCTGCTCGCTGCTGCCATTGCCATTCTGACCACCACGTTCCTGCCGTGTCCTGCGGAGGCTCCCACTGTCCGTATTGCTCCCACTCGCTGCTCCCAACGCTGTAGCTGACGACGTTGGGGTCCATATGCTGCATCTTGCGGAGCTGCTCTACCTCGCGGGTTAGGCGGTGGATGGCTCGCTCAGCCGACCACTGTGCCCATGCCCGCAGGGCTTCGCGCTCCTTCGGGGTGAGCCTTGGGCGCCACTCTCCGGCACCCGTCCTGTAGCACCGTTTGAACTTCCAGTGTTTGTTAACGTCAAAGGCGGTCGAGCATGCGACAGCTGCGGAAGAGGATGAGGAGGAGGAAGAGGAGGAGGAGGAAGAGGAGGAGGAGGAGGAGGAGGAGGAGGAGGAGAAGGAGGGGGAGGAGGAGGAGGAGGAGGAGGAGGAGGAGGAGGAGGAGGAGGAGGAGGAGGAGGAGGAGGAGGAGGAGTGGGAGGAGGAGGAGGTAGAGGAGGAGGAGGAGGAGGAGGAGGAGGAGGAGGAGGAGGGAGGAGGAGGAGGAGGGATGAGGAGGAGGAGGAGGAGGAGGTGGAGGAGGAGGAGGGAGGAGAGGAGGAGGAGGAGGAGGAGGAGGAGGAGGAGGAGGAGGAGGAGGAGGAGGAGGAGGAGGAGGAGGAGGAGGAGGAGGAGGGGAGCTCCACGCCCTCCTCTGAGTCCTTTAAAAGGATCTGACACCTGCTGCAACGAGGCGGTGCAGCAGGCCTGTGAATAAAATTAGGCATACGTGTTGAAGCACTGCATAATATTGCCGACATCAACCGTAACACCCGCTTTCTGTTGCCTGTAATGCGGGTGTTTGCCTTTGCACAGGGCTTCCCAGCCGTACCTCGCTGCGCGCGACGGAGGCGGCTGGCACTTGGCGGCTAACCCGCGGACAGAGGCTCCACTGGAATGCGCCTTGCACCTAGTGCAAATAAACAAAACCGAGCCATCAGAGCAGTCGAACGCAATCGTACGGTGCTCGAGGGCGTCCTGACTGGACGCGTGAAGCCGAGAAACCTGAGAACAGACACCTGGCAAGGGCCTACTCTGAGATCGCTTGCCTCTGAGGCAAACAGCACAGCGCCACACTCCAGACCACATTTCCCAGCGATGCCCTGCGGTCGCAGCGGCAGCGGCATGCGGGGCAAGAATTCGTCCTACCTCGGAGAGGTCCAAGGTAGGCCACACATGCAAAACATGGGCCGCCAGCCTGATAGTCTGGCGTGCCTGCGTGACAAGCTTATCAGCAGCCGCTAGCTTGTCTGGACACGAAGGATGAAGCTGCACTGCGTGCTTGGCTGCCGCGTCCGCATGATGGTTGCCGAGGCGCCTCCAGCGCTCAGCAGCGTCGATCCCCGCCTCATCCAGCTCCTTGTGAGCTGCGACTTTGGTGCACGTGGAAGGCGAGATACCTTGGGCATAGAGTTGGAGGAAAGCCCCAGCGTAGGCCCTCTTCCCACACAGCTGCTCGGCCTTGGGCCGACAGGCTAGAGTGACCACATTGCTGCAATCAGAGAACACATCTATGCAGGCCGACGCGAGCACATTGGCCCAAGTCCAGCAGCTGAACTCGGCCGACTGAGGCGTCTGAGGATATGGGGCCCACACAGAGGCCCGAAACTCGGCGACGGCCGACCCTTGGTCGTCGACCATCAGCACACTGCAGCCAGCCCTGGAGAGCTCCCGAACAGAGTGACGGCTGCTAGACCCGTCAATGAAAACGCTACCCCAAACTTCAATCCCAGGCTTAGCCCCAGAGGGCGACGAGATATCTTGGTGGTGCCACACAAGAAACGGGCCATTGTCCGTCTCAGTGAGGGGCCTGGGGTACCCATCGGCGGGGTGGCGGAAAGCCCCATATATAAAAACGAACACAGCTTCCTCGTCGTCCTTAGCTGCTAAGGCTTCAGCTACGCTACTAGCGTCAACTAGAGAGGATCTAAGCTCAGCCACTGGCTCGTGGGGGCACTCCCACAACCTGTGGAAGATCGTGTCCGAGGCGCCGCAGAACGGGCAACTGCCGTCCACGAGGTAGCCTAAGCTCACAGCACGATCTCCAGTGAAAAAGGCTTCGGTGGCGAACGCTCTAATGTGGGCCTTCTGGAGGGCCGTGTATTTCTTGGAGGCCAGGGCCTCGCGCAGCACATCGTAGCATATCCCAGGGAGCACTCCCCTCTTTTCGGCGGAGAGTCGCTCCAACATCCTAAAATAACCGTCCTTGAGCAAAATCCTGAATAAGGCAGGCGAGATAATGCCGAGGGGAATAGAGAAACCACGGTCATCTCGCACTGTCATGAAGTTGTCCATACACCAGCCCAGCCTAACAAGGGACATCCGAAGGGCCGACACAGGGCCCGCGACCGCTCTCCAGGAGCAGGCAGGGTTGGAGAACACAGCTTCCCACGCACGACGCAACGAGGGAAAACCCAAACCCCAAGAGTAGGCCCCGGTCTGGGCCAGCCAGATCTCCTTGGACCAACGGAGGATGGGGGCGGTGGCAGTGCGCCAGCACGGATCATAATCGAGCAGAGCCGCCGCCGTCAGGGATCTCAACTGAGATCGAGGTCGGACCACCGAGAAAACTTGACGACGGAGGCGAAGCAACTCGAGGTCGCTAGTGCCAGTAATTTCAGCGCCATACGAAGCCCCCGCGAGGGGCCCCGAGGAGAACACCCTAAGAACCTGCGGCCGAGAGATGACTCTAATATGACGTTTTAATCTCTTGGCCGCCCTCGCAGCCTTGGCGATGCGCATTTTGGACTTCGCCGAGCGCCCCGCCGCCCTAAGCGCGCGGCCAGCCGTGTAGTCAACGCCTAAGTTGACAGCACTCGACGTAAACTTACCTCCTAAATGCGAAATCTCAACAGAAACCTCATCCCCAAGGGCCTTCGAGGAAGCGACAACAGCGGTCTTACCCAGGGCGAGGGAGCAACCGAAACAAGACTCAACGATGCCGTGGAGCGCCTTGGCCCCTTCGACGATCGATTTGACCGCGGTCCGATGTTGGCCCGTGCACGAGAGACCCTGGTCGTCGATATACACATCGAGGTCGAGCCTGGGGATGGAGGGAAGAGAATCGTATCCGTCCTGGAAAAAAAAAAAAAAAACGAACGAACGTGGTGGCCATCGAGCACCCCGCGATAACCCCATTCAGGCAGAAGTAGGGGCCTTCCAGCCACCCTCCAAGACAGAGAAAGCGCCCACACCTGTAGGCATAAATGCAAAGACGGGCAATCGCAAGAGGGAGTCCATGTTTCTTGCAACGGGCCTCGAGCTCTTTCAGACTGATGTTCTCATAGAACTTGCGCAGATCGAAGAGAACAGAACATGATGACTCCCCGATGGCAAGACCCGTCTCGGCGGTGACA